TGTATCATTATTTCATTTCAAAGATTACAAAATTTCATTATATTGTAAAAATCGCATTACCTTGTTTCTGTGGCAACGGCCGTTGCTATAGTTTGTAGTTTGTTGACATTGAATTTTTTTCACTGAAAAATGGACGCTATAAACGTCGTGGGATGTTCCACTGTTCCCGATACAATCCTGTCGAAAGAAATCTCATAAAGCAACCGAAAAGTTGGTTCCTAAGAAGTCGGCCGCAAGGTATGAAAAAGAGTACTAAGTGTTTTGCCAATTGAGGAACGAACATGGGGCGAAACAAGTAGAGGAAAACGTCATGTTGGCATACTGTTTGGATGCAGTAAGTTTTTTAATTGAGATTTTTTTGCCTGGGTTTCGGTGTTAAAGCGTCATGGGGCATGGAAAAGCTCATCGACGGCAGAAAAATACATCGAAGGTTCGGTAGAAGGAAAAGTTAATATTGCCCGTATGATACAACTGATACAAGGCGGCGAAAATTTCATTGAAGTTCTACAGCAGAAGGAATTAAACATTACTAACTCGACATCCAGTAATAACCCAGGCGTTAGTGTTGAGGGCAATATAAATTGTTTCATTACAATCAATGTTAATGTTTGAAATAAAGAATTACAGCCAAATTTATGTTGGGGTTTTTAATTAATTCTGTGAAGATGTCAAATTTGATGTATACAAATAACAGTCCGGTAAGTGTTGCTTAGCGACACTTACCGGCTCTGATGCTGTAATAACTCACCTACCGGACTCAAAATGATAGTGTAATCGAACATCTACCGGACAGTATGAAATAAAATTAATTTTTAAAAAAAAACCACTGGTATGTAAAATCGAAAAATAAAGACATTTCAGATCCCTGTATATAACGGAACGACCTCTACAAATGAAATTAGGATTGAATTTTGTAACAGGGAGTCGCTTGACGGTTTTCAAAAAGTTGGTTTTGAGTTTGTATTTGATCAGCATACGAAAATTTCCACATGTAGCGCTTTATAGTGAACGTGAACAAAAGTTGTCTGGCGATAAGAGGTAATAACCAGAAACGTATTGCGGTAAGCGAACGCGGCTGCCACGATCCCTTGGGACCTAAAACTTTTCCTTGCTACTACTGTGATCCTTAAATTTCGAGTCATATACAAAACACCTCAAACTTCTTTAATTAAATTTCTCTCAGTACATATCCACACCCCGGTACAACAAAAATGATTTAATCCTGACCTCAATTCCTGATTCCATGCAAACAATGGTCCAGATCAAACTCCCAAAGCTCCAAAAATGTCATTTACCAAAGTTTGAAAGCACTGGAAAGGCACTTTGGGAGCTGATGAATAAATTTATTCGTAATTGAGTATGAGACATCTCTCTGAATCGTTAATAGGATCGAATAAATACACGACTTGCATGATTTTATATAATAAAATTATTCTTCGACCACAAATAAAATTAAACACAAAATCATACTTAACCAAATTGGACCACAGCGTCCGAATAAACAAAGCACGCATATGCGTTCAATTACAAATTAACTTAAGATAACTTACCGTTTTCGAGTTACAAAATCGCATTAACATCCTGACACACAAAAACGCAAAACGCAAAAACACAATGATGGGAAAGGCCGACATCGAAGAAGCGACGTCGCTGTGAACGCTGAGCATCGGGATCAAGCCAGCATTTGCCCTTTGGCTCTACGCGAAGTTTTTGTCCTCGCTGAGCTGGCCTTGGGACATCTGCGTTATTCTTTGACAGATCTACCGCTCCAGTCAAACACCCCGCCTGACGGAGCCTGATTGTGAATTTTTCGGGGGACGGACGGGTCGGGGGTGGTAAACAGAGAAGATTTTATTTCGGATTGCAGTAACAGCTTTTTGATCCTGGTTTGCTTAGATTCGAAATACGTATGGACATTTTGTTTTGCATTTATCACGGCGGTAACTGTACCATCGAAGCGGATTTCTATAGTAGTAGTGGACGATTATTTTTAGGAATTTGCATATTAATTTTGTTTGAAGTAATTTTAATATTCCTGAAGGAATCGACCTATAAAATGTTGAAAATTCTGCCCATGGCATGGGAGGGTGCATATCATCATTTATTTTATATAATGAATTGAGTTTTTTATAATCCACCGTGGGATAGGGAGAAGTTTATAAAACGCATTACATACTATACTCCCTCTACGACTAAGTAAATGTAAAAATTTATAAATAGGGCGTATTATTAATTCCACTTTAATGACGAATTCGTGTTACGATGAATGCCAAAAGGATAGAGACCTCAAACTACCCATTTGATTTAGGCGTCAAACTTTTTAGTACAACGGTGTCATTTTTTAATAGGATAACTAATAATAATAAACAATTCTGGATTGAGTTACCTAACTGATACCATCTCGATCAGCAGGAGCGGATATTAAGAAGCGATATATTCTCTTTAAAGAAATTGGTAGGTTAATTCTTATACGAAGGACTGTTTAAACGAAAGACACTTGATCTCTGTTAGGTCGACTTCTATTTGCGGGGTTAGCTAATTGTTATTTATATTTGTGGGATACGTTTGTAATTGAGTTGAGTTGGAAATATAGCGGAAAATAAACAAACACTGAGTGGGGTGTTTAATTTTTGATGAGATAAACTTTTATTGGCGGTCCCATCTAGATACAGCCCCGTTTTTCGTCGTCTACTTCATTATTTAAGCACCTTATCAAATAATTACGGTACGTGAAAATTCTACTGGACATGCTACTATTAAAAAAAGAAGTCCTAAGCTTAACGGTCGTCTTATAGTCTCTACTTTGTTCACACATTCCTCAATATCCATTAAAAATTCAGGTGACGTTTTCTACCTGAGTCGGTGGTCTGCCATTTTGCAGTAGAGGTAAATTGTACTGAATTTATCCACACCCACTCAATGAATTGGAAAACATTTTAGTTCAAGCTGAATGAATATAAAATAAATATTTTGAGAACACCCTGTTCAGTGAATTTAGCCGAAAAATCTTGGTGCCGGTTGCTTAATAAGAAAATCAATTTATTTTAATAACATTAATTTTTTAAGCGCTATACATATTTATAACTGAATTAATTTAAAAACCTTGTTCCGGTTGCCTGATTTTCATCCTGAAAGCGTATTTTGTTAGTATTCCAAGCTCTTAGGTGTAATCTCATTTTGCTAATGGCATTGCTATATTCTCCGTGTTGCTTGAGAATCGCTAAAAGCTGTGTAAATCTATAAACACTGGTTTACAACCTATCAAACCGTTCAACGGCGCTTCCGCCTTCAATCTTTATAATTCAGGTCTCGGATTTCCTACCAAAGCGTCTGTTTTCTTCCATCAGACCTAGAATGAATAAATTAAATGTACGAAACAGAACCCGAGCGAAACATTAGGTTTTGGAAAAGAGACTAAAACATAAGTTCTCTCGGCGCTTGAGGGTGCAAAAAAAACCGCTAAGATAGTGCCAAGCCAAGACCACTTATCCTCTTAAATTTCTTTCGACAGTATACAGACGCTGCTGTAAGATATTAGCTGGCAAGTTACCACCTTACTAGGACATAAAACCCATGATCCGCTCTATTGAAACGTCTAAAGCTCACCCTCTGACAAATTTGAAGTGCCCATCCAAATATTGTCCTTCAAGTTTACGATTCCATTTTATCGTCCTTGTAACTCTAACAAGCGCTGCATCCAAATGTAATTATATAGCAACGGTTTAAGGATTTAGTTATCGCTTCAAGTTTAATTACATACGAAATGCGATTGGGTCGTTTATTTTTATTGTCGAGGACTGTTTTATTATAAAGTGTACGTAGAGTAATTCATTAAAAGCTTTTCCGTTTACTTGGTACTCCGGCAAGAAATGTGGGTTAAGTAAACGGTAATTGCGAATTGCGACGATTTTGTGTGGCTTACCATGCTGATGGAATATGAAATGTGTACCTACCTATCTACACGTGGTACAATTGCAAAAAAGAAATTGCATAATGCTGACATTATTTAATTAAACTAGAGACTGTAGTGCACCGAAGGGTAACGGAGGGAAGGTTCATCAATAATTTAGACATGTATCGTAAGTGCATCGTAATGAGCAAAGTTTTAGAAGTGTTACATACTTCATAGTATGCATGTACTAGTATAGGGTGAGTCGGTGCGTTTTTTATGATATTTCGGAAAGTATAAGAGATACGAATTAAGTTAAATGGGGAAAGATTTGCAGTTACGTTTTCCAAAACTATTCGTGATTCCTAAAATATTTTTATTTATAAAATGAGTTCAAACAGTCTTCCATTTCGGCTGATTTTTAGTTTATTTCATAACTTACAGATTATAAATGTCACCTTAACTTAAGAAAGTAGACCGGATTATTGACAATTAAATTACTGTAACTTTTGTTTGTACACTTTCTATGAAGCTCTATTAATATCTGGTGACTTGGTGAGTTTGAGGATTCAAAATGGTGTCGCGGATAAGAATCTTAACAATTTGGATGACAATTCGGACATGAAACTATGCATGTGGTGGTGATCCCAACAAATCCTCACAATCAACGATATTCTGTGGTGGATGCTATCGTTGGTTTCATTCCATTTGTGTTAGATATTGTGTAACAATTTATTTTCTTCATTACAAAGCAGTCAATATTCACTTACTGAAAGATCCTCGTAATAATCGTAACCTTGGAAGAGATGCCTCCATGTTGGAATTTTAGCCACGCAATTTTAGCGCACATTGCGTTTCGATTTTCACTTTCTTTTCTGTTGAGAACCTTATCCAATGGACTTTGTTTGAACAACAGTTGCGGCGTTAGTGAAAACGCATGGAATTTTACTTGCCGCCATCCATATTTTATTAATCTTTGGCAATTGAATGCATTTAATTTGGGGGATTCACCTTTTAATTTCGATATAGAGGATATAATTGTATTTTTGCATCTTTTTCGTAAGTACGCTATTTGCATTTCATATAATTGAAGTGTATCTTTCGTTAAGCCTGTATTAGACGGTAACTTTTTTTACAGCAGATTTGTTACAAAAAATTATTCACAAAAATCTGTTTACAATAAAAAGGAAGCAAATTGCCGACCTGTATTACATGAAATTATTTCTGTGAACAAAAATATTACGTGAGACGGCGCAGTAACGATTTTCAGGTAGTTGGTATGAATAAAAACACTACAAAATCATGTAGTTACTTTTGCTTCTCAAAGTTTGAAGTGTGAGATTGTACATAACCTATAGGTATTAATTGTTTTAAATTCAACAATTTATTATGAATTTTGCCAATGCCAAAAAAATAGGAGTGTTATCGGCTGCAGCTGGAGTAATATGCGTTTTACTAATGAAGCAGCTGAAACAAAAAACTAAAAAAAAAAGAAGAATATGGTCTGAAAAGTGGCTTTTAAAGCGGCAAGATGGAAGAGGTGTTCTACATATGTTAGAACAAGAATTGCGAACGGAGGATCCCGAATCTTATCGCCAATTTATTAGAATGTGTGGACAACATTTTGATGAACTTCTTGAATGTATACGAAGTGATATTGTGAAACAAACCACTAACATGAGAGAAAGTATTTCTGCTGAAGCAAGGTTTGAGATATAAAAAAGTTAATTCAAATTTAATTGAGTTTTACAGGTTAGCATTAACTCTAAGATTCCTTGCAACAGGAGAAACTTATCGATCTCTAATGTTTGCCACCCGAATACATGAAAGCACCATTAGCTTGATAATTCCTGACGTTTGTAATGCAATCTGTGAAAAATTAAAATCTGTATATTTACAGGTACATCATTACTATGTCCATATTTGTGTACTACTGATTTTGCTTTAGATGCCAACTACAGAATTGGAGTGGAGAGTTATTGCCTCCGAGTTTCAAAAACATTGGAATTTTCCATTATGTCTAGGTGCCATTGACGGAAAACATATAAATTTTAGGCCTCCACGAAGTTCAGGATCATACTACTTTAACTATAAAGGGGATCACAGTATTGTGCTTCTTGCAGTTGCAGATGCATCTTACAAATTTCTGTACGTTGATATTGGTGTCAATGGTAGAGTAAGCGATGGAGGAGTTTATAGAGAATCCTCCTTAAAATGGGCAATAGATCATAATACATTAAACTTTCCTCCCCATGAATGCTTACCTGGTCAAAATACACAATTGCCTTATACATTTGTAGCTGATGATGCATTCCCTCTATCAACGAGAATCATGAAACCGTATCACAGTCGTGGATTGACAAATGAGCGAAGAATATTTAATTACCGATTGTCACGGGCAAGACGAGTAATTGAAAATTCGTTTGGCATCTTGGCCAATAGGTTCAGGATTTTATTAAATACAATAAATTTGAATCCTGATAAAGTTGAACTAATTACCTTAACTTGTTGTATTTTACACAACTTTTTATTAGAAAAAAATCCGAGATATTTAGAACCATCTGAAAATACCGAGGATAATATAGGTAAATTGAAAAAGTTGACAGATATGCAAGGTGGCAATAGAGCTGCCAGTGAAGCTTTAGAAGCACGAAATTTATTTTCAAGATTTTTTGTTACGAATGGGGCAGTACCATGGCAGAACGATGTTTTGTAATGACAGTGGTTATTTTGAAATTAATATAAACCAAAAATAGTATTGTTTCTTTCATTTAACACTTGTTTACATATTTACAAATCATTCGGCTTCTTCAATTTCGGCATTAAAAATCAGGGTCTCAATGTGATGCTGTAGTTTCAATTTCCTTTTTCTGCTTTGAATTGCACCGATCCGTGAACATATATATTTTGCGTATACTTCATCGGGATCTTCTGTGGAAGTCCCAAGTACCGATGACACTGCGGTAGTTAACTTATCTAATGCTTTCGAAGCTTTTTCGGTAACGTCGACATTATGATTTCTGTCGTCTTTTTTGTATTTTTTCCGAGCAGATCTACAAGTTGCAGTTTCTCCCACATATACATTATCATCGTTGGGAACTGGACTACCGCTTCGTATAAGGTGTAATTCACCTTGAGGTTGCAACTCATATTCGCCCTCTAACAGACTAGTTGGAGAATCAGTTAAATAGTTTTCGCTTTCTTCTGTAGCGTACGATGAAACAGACTTTCTTATATTTAAATGTTCGTTTAGAAATACCAGCTTTTCGTAATACCACAGCGATGGTATGTAGATCTGAAATGATACCTAATTTATATTTTCTGTACATAACTAAAGCCTGTATTAGACGGTAACATTTCTTACAATATATTTGTTACCAAATTTATAAACAAATGAATTATGACCGTCTAAAACAGAAATTAATAGCTTTCATATCAAAATGTATACAAAATGTGATGAAAAATAGAACTTGTTCTATTCCCATACAAATTTTGGTAATATTTCAGATGTGAGCATGCGTATTGCTTTAATAAACAGTCAGCTGTTCAAGAACTAACTTCAGTGGATATCGACCTTGCTCATAACCTATATGTAAATATTTTACAAAACACATTTTGACATTGTATCAACCGCCAAGAACTCTTTTATGTCGCGATGTCGTGGTCAAATGATCAGGTTTCATTGCTGATTGAGCAATACCAACAGCACGAGTGTTTATACTTTGTTCAACATCGCGATTATCATAATAAAAACCGAAGAAATGCTGCGTTACAACAAATTTGCGAAAAAATGAATCAAATACGTCCAAATACTTCCATACATGAAATCCAGAAGAAATGGAATGGTATTAGAAATACATATGCCAGTGAACGAAGGAAATCCATTGCAAGCTCTCGTAGTGGGGCTGGGTCAGAAGACGTGAGTTAAAACTGTTTAGGTTTCGGCTGATATTTGTTATACAATTGTTGCGTTCATCTATATAATTATGTACATGTTTGGGGAAAGTTCAGTTAGAAATTGAGCGACGGTCAACCCTTGATAAGTGCAAGGAAGTTACAAAGATCATTGTACCCAGAACGAACTACTGCTGTGGAAGATTCTCAAGTTCATATTTTGTGTTTGACCCTGAGCTTGTTGATCGTTTATGCGACGGGTTTGAGGAAACGCAGCGCAAATTCTACCTACCCGTTATAATTGAAATTCGTGACCTGAGTAAAGACAAATTAACGCCTTGGATACGTGCTGATTGTAAACATATACGTATCTCTCAATATTCTCGTAAGACCCAAAACTCAGACTTTTAAAAGAGAACGCGGTTTAAATATACATATTAAAAGGAAAGATCTGGAATTTCCCTAAAAGATGGGAACTCTCATCAACTTCTTTGCAAACTCAAGTTCAATATTCGGGTTCCAAAAAGAATTCCGAAAGGAACTAGGATACAAATAGCCGACAGTCTCGCTTTCCTAATCAACAAATGTACTGATATGACCGCTGACTCTGCCTCCTCCCTCAAATCATGGATGGCCCTTTTTACCTTCGCATACGTTGGTCTTAAAATTCGAGACTCCACGTCAAAAAATAAGACTGTCCAGTATAATTAAGCAAAACCATTCTGAAATGCTTCCATTAGATGCCCTAAATGAAAAATCACTAAATCTGTTTTTCGCTCATATCTAGTGAACTGTGGATTTTTTTCGAAAAACAAAAGCATATCTTAAATAAGCTCTCAAAACGACAACTCTTTCCTCATTTAACCGAATCCGTATGTCTTATGGTTTCCGAGATCCCAATGCTTAAAATAAAAAAAAACTCACTCTGTCGTAGAGACAGTCCAGTGGTTGACAAACCACGTCGCAACCGCCAAACCATGGGAGGGAGCGCAACTTGAACTTCGGGAGGAAAAGGATCTTCCAAAGCCTAACGTATTCATGGCTCACTTTTCGGGAGAGGCGGAAGAGTCGATGACGTGTTGCTTTTTAACAAGTACGTTCATTATTTCGATTGTTGTTCGACGAATTTCTGATCGACGAATGTATGCGCAAATGCAGCGCAAAGAAAGCTTCGGCGGCTCATGCGCCGCACATAACCAGTGGAAATATATACAGGGGCAGGCAAAATGGAGAATTATTCGAGTTTGGGGACGTAACATGTGGGTATTAAAAAACTCGGAATAAAAATACGTGATGCCATGTAAAATACTGAACTTGTTAGCTACTTTCGCTAGTTGTCCCAAAAACATCCAAAAGCGTTCATCTGTCCTATATATCTTAGATGCTAATTGGAATCATTAGAAGATTACTATCAAGTGTGACAATGTGATTAACAGATTAAATCAGCCAAATCTTTTACATCTGTTCTAACGGTATTAACAAGGAGATTATTTGTACAGGGCGAGTCAACGATTGCGCGGAGTAACTTAATGCCTTGAAGATAAGATTTTTCCATATCATAATACAAAAGCACTCTATCGAAAAATCTTATCTTCAAGGCATTAAGTTACTCCGCGCAATCTTTGACTCACCCTGTACCTTCACTGTACATAGAATATTCTGGAATATCAACCATTGTACAGGGTTGCGATTAACTGACGCATAAATTCACTGAAAATGAAATAGGAGTATTTTTGAAATACGCTCGAACTCGAACCCGTCGATTTTGTTTTTGGACTTTCACGCAAAATGTAGGTTGACAGGGTGTCCCAAAAATTCGTGTCCGATAAAATATTTTGTTCTTAAATAAAAATGCCCGTATATTTACGCATTGTTCGGTCCTCATTCATTTATCTTTGTAATTGTATCTTAAAAATCAGAATAGCTAACAAAAGTAATGAATAAAAATCTGTAATTGTCAAAATATTATGCATCTGAATACAAGAAGAAGGAAGATAAAACGAGAAACTCCGACTAGCAAGTGCATTATTAAAATTTCACAATGCCCGTCGGCCCGAAACATGAATAATGAGAAGCTTTAATTCTTTTGTCTACATAATAATTCTTCATCAGTTTCCACGACGTAAAAGTAGGCAAAGAGTTAGTTATTAAGGGCTTGTGTTTATTCATCGGTTAAAATTCAAAGGCCTTGTAAAGAAACAATTAGCAAAAATAAATACAAGAAAATCCTTAAAAACAAATTATCCTTTCAGTATTGCTTCAACGATCATTTGATGTTGAAAATGAAACGTTTCCATCTCTTTGTAATTTTGCTACGAGGTTTTCGTTGTACTTAAATTTTAGAAGAGCTTACGTTGTTAAATAATTGAGTTGGAGATATGTCGAGTGTATAAACAAAATGTAAAGAAAAGGGAATTGAATCGGTTGATTTTCTATCTAAAAGATTTGCTTGTGCACTCGAAGCTCATCAGTCGACTACAAATTGAAAAATAAATGGAAAAGTAAAATTACATTCGGAATTGATCAAGTTCTTCGTGCGTCTTTTATGAAGACAAAAGAAAATGTTATTTATGAAAAAACGTCGTTCTACCAGTTCGAAGTCTAACTTAATTTCTATTAAAATACCTCTTTTCACGTGTGCCGCTTACACATAATTTGAGATACGAGTTTATGGTCTAAAATAAGGAACTTTGATAATTTACGACGTTATAATTTATAGCTACAATAGAATATTATTAAAACTACCCCATAAATTCCGAACGCATTTCCTTAACTCACACAAGAAAATGCAATGAAAATAAATCTTTATAAGACACGAAACCCTCACATTTAAAACGCGAAAAATTAGAAGAATGCCGATCAGGAAATTTGCGTTAAAAATTGCTGGGATCATGAAGAAATTGGGTAAAGTTTTTAAAAAGGAGACGTGTATAAAAAGTTTCGGGTTATTAAGGAGCGCTGTGCCGATGACGAAAAGGTGGGTATATCGAGAAAAAGTGGATTTAACTTTTAAAATAACACGAGCATGGGTTAAATATAGTTATAAAGTTTGATTTATTACTATCCCCTGTAATATTTTCACCAAACGAAGATATTACGCCCTGTGAAATATGCCCATTTTCAAGATTTATTTCGACTTCAGGATTCTGATAGCTACCGAGTAAGGAATCAATGAATAATGGCAATTACGACGCTCTGTAACGTGCGTAAGTTATCTTAAAATTGTAGTTACGCGGCCCGCAATGATTTAAACAAGGAGAAGTTGTGGTGAAATGTGTTTAGAATAATAATATGAATAGGAAGTGTCAAGTCTGTTCAAAAGAAGCCATAAACCTTATTTTCGTTACGCAGATGGAAATTTTTCATTTTAGGGAAGAGGCACAGGTTCGCTTTGCGCATAAATGTACTTTTTCAAACATATTCTTTTTGACAGGATGTCATAATAAACTTACGTATCCTTTAAAATCTTGTATGGAATGTTTGAATTTTCGGTTAATTTGTATATTTAAAAAAAATATACACATTTATAAACAATCGATTTTATTTGGTTCTCTCACGCATCTTGATATTATTGTAATAAGCGTTTCTTTTGAGGTTTGCACTGAAGAGCCAAGTCAAATTCATTTATGTGTGTTTTCTTTTTTAATTGTGTAGCAATTTTGAAAAGGACTATGTTTCGGTGAATTTCAGATAACACACGGAACATTTGAATAAATCACATTTGCAAAGAAGCACGTTGCGTTTGTGCTTTAATTTGTTCGGCCAAGACCCGTAGGTTTTCTTTTAAAAAAAGCCTGGAAGCCGATCTTCTCATTACAGACCTCTTCAGAACCGAACGTCACATTAGGCTCAATGGATGCCGCC